CAGGGTTACACCCCCAACTCAGGGGATGTTCAGGGGCTGCAGGCAGCCTGGGAGGCTCTGCAGACCGGTGGGCGACCCATCACACCGGGTACCCTGCGCCAGCTGGCTATCACCCACCATGTGCTCTCTGGCAAGTGGCTCATTCACCTAGCACCTGGCTTCAAGCTGGACCATGCCTGGGCTGGCATTGCCAGGGCTGTAGTTGAGGGCCGTCTTCAGGTGGCCAAGGTGAGCCCACGGGCCAAGGAGGGCGGGCGCCAGGTCATCTGTGTTTACACGGACGACTTCACGGACCGCTTGGGAGTGCTGGAGGCAGACTCTGCCATCCGTGCTGCAGGCATTAAGTGCTTGCTCACTTACAAACCTGATGTCTACACCTACCTGGGCATCTACCGAGCCAACCGCTGGCACCTTTGCCCCACTCTCTATGAGAGCCGTTTCCAGCTTGGAGGCAATGCCCGTGGCTCTCGAGTGCTGGACCGTGCCAACAATGTAGAACTGACCTAGTGGGCCACCTGGGAGAGACACCTTTTGCTCCCCTGCTGGGATGGATCCTTCTTTCTTCTCTTCCTTGTCCCAAGAAGGCCAAACTCCCTAGCCCTGAGGACTAATTGACTTGGGAACTGCCTATACTCGGTCCCTTTGAACTTCTCTCTGTGCTGGGTTGACTCCAGCCCCCACAGGCTGGGGGCTTTGGCTCCCTGAGGGCGGGGCCCTCGGCTGCCCTCTTTGATGCTGCTTCCCGCCACTGCCCAGGACCGTAGCTTGGGTGCAGATGCTCAAGAAAGCCTGCCCTGGTCACCTCTATCCCCTACTATACTCAACTTGTATCTCCCTTTTCTTTCCTCCCCCGTAAGGGAGAAAACTTAGTGCTTCCAGTCCCTGTCCTTGGCGCTATCATAGCCAGGTGGCAGGGCCCCTACAGGACTGAGCATGCTGTTGGGGCCTATATATGTCTGGCCAAGAGAGGATGCAGGGTCATGGACATAGGGCCTGCCTGCTCCTCCCTGCAAATTCATAGCCTGCATCACCAACATCCTTCCCTGACTACCTTGACATGTGCCTGCTCCTGGCATTTCAATAAAACCCAGCTTGGGTCGGTGTCTTGAGTGTTTTTTAAAAATACTGTCCTGATGGTTACCTGCTTTGGCTCCCAGGAAAGGCAGGGCCAGAAGAGGCCGCAGCTCTGATCTGACCAGGCCTTCTCTGTCTTCCTCCCTCAGCAATGAAGATGGTGCGTCTCACTGCTGAGAAGCTCTGCAAAGCTGATCTGTACCTCATGGATCAGAAACAGATTTATAGGTCTTCCCAGGAAGGCCCAAGAGACTACTCTTTAACCCCAAGGTATATTTGTTTTAGACTTTTACATCTTATTGAGACAGGGTCTCACTGTGTAGACCAGACTGGCCTCTAACTCAGAAATCCATTTGCCTCTGCCTCCTAAAATGCTGGGTTTAAAGGCCTGTACCCCCCAGCTTTTAGGTTTTTAAAAAGTTATGTTCATGGTGGCACATGCCTTTAATCCCATCACTGGGGAGGCAGAGGCTGGTGGATCTCTTAAGTTTGATGCCAGTCTGGTCTGCATATTGAGTTCCAGGACAGCCAGGGCTACATAACATAGACCCTGTGTTTAAAAAACAAAACAAAACAAAAAGGTCCATAGCCTTTATTCCTGGCACTTGGGAAGCAGAGGCAGAAACAGGTAGATCTCTTTGAGCTCAGGGGAGGGGGGCAGTGTTAAGAGGCTGGGGTCTTTCTAGGCACTTAAGAGCACTGATTACTCTTCCAGAGGACAGTAGGTTTAATTTCCCAGCATTCATGTGGTGGCTAGTAACATCCCCCAACTACAGTTCCAGGGATAAGATGCCCTCTTCTGGTCTCTGCAGACACTGCACACATGGTGCAGAGACATACATACGGGCAAAACACCCATCCATACACAGAAAAATGAATCTTTACAAACTATTAAACTGACAAGACATAAATTTACTTTTGAGGGGGGATGCAAAGACTAGTTTGTCTCATGTTTACATTTGGAGGTCAGAGAAAAACTTGGAGAAGTCAGTTCTTAGTGTTGTGGGTCCCAAGGGCCCAAATCTGGCCAGGCCAACACCTTTGTCTATTAAGCTATCTCGTTTGGTTGCTCAGCCTTTTGTTTGATTTTTCAAGTCAGGGCTTCTATGTGTAGCTTTGTAGACCAGATTGGCCTTGAACAGAGATCCGCCTGCCTCTGCCTCTGCCTCCCGAGTGCTGGGATTAAAGGTGTGCGCCACCACCGCCAGGCTCATCTTGGATTTATGATCCTCTACCTACACCCGAGAGTTGGGATTACAAGTATGCACCATCACACCCAGTTTAGTGCTGCCCAGGTTTTATGCAGTGACCAAGATTAGCCCTGGGATTTAGTGCCTGCTAAGCACTCTGCCAACTGAGCTACATCACAGGCCTTCTGCCCCACAGACTTGGCCTTTTTGGAACAGTAATATAGCACAGTTTGATCTCACAATTGTGCTCTTCCTGCCACAGCTTCTTGAGTGCTAGGCTTGCAGGTCTGAACCACCGTGTGCATGCCTCAGGACTTAAAAGCACTCTCAGTCCCTGTAGTTCCAGGCTAGTCACATAGTGTTATAAGCAGAGACAGGTTGGATTTCAGCCCCCTGGGCTGGAATAGCCTGAATATCCATGGATGGTATATGCAGAAGTCCTGGCACAGGCATTCACTTCTGTCACCCTATCCAGAAGCCACTGAGTAGTTTACAGAGCACATTCATCTCACAGGACCTCATAAAGGAGATGCTGGCCCCATCCTGCTATCAAGGAATTATCACCAGGTGTGGTAGCATACATCTTTAACCCCAGTACCCAGGAGGCAGAGGCAGGCAGGTCCCTGGGAGTTAGAGGACAGCTTGGTGTTACATAGCAAGTTCCAGACAACCAGAGCTACAAGAACCTATCTTTAAAAGAAAAAAAAATTGAGACTAAGGGGAGGGTGATTCAGAGAGTGAGCAGAGTTGGGACTTGCCTCTGATCCCTCCCTGTCCTCAGAGTGTGGTTCTTGACCAGAGAGACACCTTCACAACCCACAGAGCGTGGACACTCACATGATCTGATCATCCTCTTCTGCATGGCTGTCTAGCCTCAGGGGCCTGGTTTCCGCATCATCCTGTCTCCCCAAACCAGTGCCTGGCCTGGCCTTGGTTGGAGCTTAGGGGTGTTGGCAGGGAGCCCCTAGAGATGTTGCTCTCGTGCCGTGCCAGCGCTGACTCAGCCTGCAGCAGCCTCACCAAGTTGGAATTTGGAGCAGAGGAGCGGAGATGCCACTGGGCTGACTGGGTGGAAGTGGCTGAGTCATGAGACAGTGGCTTAACCCCCTCCCCAGCTTCCTCCCTACCCTGAGTTTCCCCAGGAATGAGTCCACCTCAGCCCAAATCTGGGAAGTCCCCAGAGCTCAGAGTCGGAGCCAGGTGCCCTGCCTGCCTGATTGTCTATGCTTTGCACTTGGCAAAAGTGGGCCAACTTTCCCTAGGCAGGGGTGTGGCATCCCGGCAGATATCCACAAAGATATCCACATGGTCAGGACATCCCAGATTTTCTTCCCGTACAAAGCCTGACACATCCCTCCTCTCTATCTCTATGGTTCTGCCTGGCCCCATGCCCTTCCTCAGTGTCTCCCTAACCATGACAACAGCTACTAATGTGGCTTCTCCACCCCACATCTCCTTTTCTGCCCCCACCCCTAGCCAGATCCACAGATCCCTCTGTAGAGATGTTCACATTCCTACTGAAAGGTCTTCTGTGGTTCTCTACAGCAACGAGGAACAAGGTCTGCTCTCCTGGACTGGCATGGACTGGGTCCTCAGCATGTCTCCTCTCACTGAAGCCAACTGGCACATCCTCCAACACCTCTCTTGGCGTAGAGCATGGGGCCTCAGGCCTGCCTTCTGCTTGAACACCTGCTGTGTGGTTCTGATCACAGAATCAGCAGTTACTTAGCAATCACCTGGTTGGTAGCTGTTCCCTTCTGGTCCCCAAACCACAGACCCAGACTAAGGCAGCCAGAATAACCCTCTCCAGAGATTATTAAATGAAAGATGTAGCTGCCTCAGACACAGACCACGGGAGTTTCTCCTGTGTCCATCTCTACACTCTGTTCATTTTTGCTTTAGAATATGGCTTTTTTTTTTTTAGCACATTCTGGCCTTTCCCAATTTGGTGTTTTGTTGATGGATAGCCTCTAATTGCATGTCTGACACCAATTCTCCTATGTAATGGGACATCTCAAGCCCACTAGCTCCCCAGCCATGTTGTACGTGTGGCTCTCACCTGTGTCTGGGAACTCTGAAGAACAGTGACTGTGCTTTATCCTCAGGGCATCTTCAGCACCCAACTCAGCCTGGTGCAAGCAACAAGTAATGTTCTTTGGGAGCTGGGGATTCCGGATTGAGTTTCTCTGTATAGCCCTGGCACTCGCTCTGTAGACCAGGCTGGCGTCAAACTCAGAGATCTCCCTGCCTCTGTCTCCCGAATGCTGGGACTAAAAGCGAGCACCTTCACATCCAGCTCAAATAAATGTTCTTGAATACTGTGTGGGTGCAAGAAAGCTATGCTCGGCTTGCAGGCCTCAGCTTCCTCACCTTGTTAAGCACCTGACACTGTGTTCAGTATTTGCCTACATTGTCTCATCTAAGCTCCATTTGGTTCTTTTTTTTTTTTTACGAGACAGGGTTTCTCTATTGTTTTGGAGGCTGTCGGTCCAGCCCGGCCTCGAACTCACAGAGATCCGCCTGCCTCTGCCTCCCGAGTGCTGGGATTAAAGGCATCCGTCACCACCGCCCGGCTAGTTCTTTTATCTTAAAAATAATTTTATATGTATGAGTGTTGTTCCTGTGTGTATGTCTGTGTGCCCGCCTTGTGTGTTTGTGGCACCCAGGGAGGCCAGAAGAGGATACTGAATCCCCTGGCACTGGAGTTATAGATGGTTATGATTTACCCATGTGGGTGCTTGGAATCCAATCTGGGTCTTCTGGAAGAGTAGCCAGTGCTTAACTCCTGTGTGCCATCTCTCCAGCCTCTAACTCTGTTGTTACTACATTTTGCAGAAGGGGAAACAGAGACCCAGAGAATTCCAGTTAATTGTCTCAAGGTTACAGAGCAATCAGCAGAGCCAAGCTTTCAACCCAGATCATTCAACTCTAGGGCATCTGAGCCATGGTTAAGTCTTGTTGATCAAAGTACTGTTGAGGACAGGGGTCCTGCAGAAAGAAACAGTGTCCTGGAGGAACATAGGATTGACTTGTGAAGTACACAAGGTAGGTTCTCAAAGTCACTTGGGAGACAGGCTGGGCCCAAGCAGAGATTCCTTTAATACTGACCAAGGATTAGGTCCTGGGAGAGCAGCCTGTCTGAAAAGGAAGAGTCATTCCAACCTACGTGGAAACTGGCACCCCTGACAAGCTAAGAGCTTCCCCAAACCTGGGCTAGCACGGCTTCTCTTGCTTAGCCAGCTGCTGCTTACATGGGCGTTCAGAAGTGCCCCAGTTGTGCACAAGCCGATGTGTCTGCTCCCTTAAGACAGAGAAGCATGACAGAGGCCAGGGAGACAAGAATGTGTTCTGGGAGGGGGAGACTCTGACCCCTAGCTCCAGCTGGGACCTGATGAGAATCCAGGAGTACTGGAAACAGCTGAATAGGAAGATGCCCCGACCGAAGCTTTGGCAGGATTTGGGGGATTTTCCTAGTAGGCCAGCTGCGCCCCACTCCTGATGACTGGGAGGGGCCTTGGCAGGGATGAAGATTGGGTCACACAGCTGATTCACTGAGGAGGGAAACTCCCCACTTCTGTGACGTGCATCCCCCAGGCACTGAGGGGTAAAGCTAAGGGCACTTGTCTGGGAAACCTACCCATTTTTCTCTAGCCTCCTAGGAGGGTACAGTAACTCTGAGGTTAGGCAGAAGGCTGTGCAGGCAGGGTGGCAGGAAAGGAGACCAGAGGTTGCAACCAGAGTGAAGGCTGAACAGGACACTTCAGGTGTCTTATCTATTTTATACGTGAGGCAACCAAGACTTACCGTAAGAGCAAACATGTATACAGGCCTGCTCTTTATGGGTGCACGCTGGGCACCTTACCAGCATTAACTCACTCCACCCCTCACAGCACTCCTTTTATTGATGCTAACTAAGCTAGTCAAAGTTGAGTCAGGCATGGTGGTACATGTTTATCATCTGAGAGGTAGAGGTAGAAAGTTAGGAGTTCAAGTCCAACCTCAGTTACACAGCAAGTTTCAGGCTAGCCTAGGCTACATGAGATCCTGTCTCAAAACAAAACAAAGTCAAGGCTATAGACACACTGGCAGCCTGCACAATTCCTATGTCTTCTACATTTAGGGTGTCAGGGCATTCTGTCCCCTGTCCCTGAGCAGTTCTAGCTCCTAGGGGTAGAGGCCTCCTTGGGATGAAGTCCAATTGGTTTTTGTGGGTCGTCTACCATTGGCCCCACATCTGCCTGCTGGGGACCATGGAAGACAGCCATGTTCTCTGGAGCCTGTGAAGAGAGAGAAAACTGATTGCCACAGAAAATCAGCTGAATCTTCAGAAGCCAGGAGAGGGCAGTGAAGCGGCCCCGCCAGAATCCCTCCAGAGCTTTGACTTTTGACCAAACCTCAATCTTTTGCCCAGAGCTTCCTGTTTGTTTGTTTGTTTCGAGACAGGGTTTCTCTGTGGCTTTGGAGGCTGTCCTGGAACTAGCTCTTGTAGACCAGGCTGGCCTCGAACTCACAGAGATGCGCCTGCCTCTGCCTCCCTAGTGCAGGAATTAAAGGTGTGTGCCACCAACGCCCGGCTCAGAGCTTCCCTTTCTTGTTTTGATGCTCACCTACTGTATCATGTGCGCACACAGACACACACACAAAAATGCACACCCACAGACACAGATACACCAGTGTGTACATGCATGCACACCCACAAAAACATATACACAGACATGTGCATACATGCACACACACACAGGAAGTGAAAGACTAGTTTATTGCCCACTGCCATGGAGGCCCCCTTGGGTACCTGAGAGCTGTGGTTCGATTAGGTGTGGCCCCACGCAGGCATGCTTTGCCCCACTCGGCTCTCTCATAGGCTACATGACTCACTCCCTTGCCCCCCATGACTCAGTTTACACAAGTGCCTGGAGGTCCTCACAGCTCGGGTGGGGCGGTTTATGGGTGCAGCCCAAACCCGCCAGCCTTTCATCCCAGCATGAGCATTTCATCCCACTCCTGGCCCAAAGCAGGAGTTGGCACCCCTGGGATCAGCAAGCCAGGTTCTTGGAAGCCTGGGGACAGGAAGTATGTGTTGGGGGAGGGGGTCCTAGGTCTGGGGCTTTACAAGGAGCTGAAAAGCTGGGTGACAAGCACCAACCCTCCTTGGCTTGAGTTTGAATGGAGCAGGGGCCACTCTGGGTCAGGCCAATTGGGCAGAGCCATTCTGGACACACAGAAGAGGGAATAGGCCCCATGACACCAATTTATCAGTAAGAGATCTCCCTACTTGTTTCTTAACCTTCCTAGGATTCTCCCTCTAAACATTTTCCATGCTTTACCCTGTCTACCCCACAAATAACCCAGAAAAGCAGATACAAATGAAGAAACAGAGAGGTAGAAGGGATGGCTGAGGTTACCAAGTCAGGAAGTTTCCACAGTAACAAATGGAGGTTTTGCAGAGAGGAATGAGTTAATGCACACTGGAAGGATGATTGCAAAGAGTATTTGTGTATATGTCTGGTCTTACTATGAGCCTCTCACCTATACAAGGGGTGAGAAGGGACATCTGACACACCCTGGCTAGCCTTCACTCCAGTTACAGTGTGTTTCTTCTCAGAGCTGTTCCCACAGCCCTGGTGCCCTCCACGCCATTTCATAGTTGCCTTCTCCTACCTTCCCAGCTGCATGAGTGGAAGCAGGATGGAGAGCCCGGTGTTCATCTTCACCCTGTAGATCTCCACTGGGACTCCTGGTTTTAGGAAGCACAGTATGTGATGTACAAAAAGGAGAATCAGGCTGCAGAGATGATGGCTTGGCGGTTAAAAGAGCATGCTTCTCTTCCAGAGGATCTGAGTTCAATTCTTAACATGTGCCAGGCAGCTCACAACTGCCATAACTTTAGCTCCAGGGCACTCAACACTGTCTTCTGGCCTCCGCAGATACAGACACAGACACACACACACACACACAGACACACACACACACACACACACACACACACATAGAGAGACAGAGACAGAGACAGAGGCAGACATGGTGCTGCACACCTCTAATCCCAGCACTTGGAAAGCAGAGGCAGGAGGATCTGTGAGTTCAAGGCCAGCCTAGTCTTGAGTGAGTTCCAGGACAGATAGGGCTACACAGAGAAACTGTCTGAAAAAAAAAGAAAGAAAGAAAGAGGAAAGGAAGAGAGAGAGAGAGAGAGAGAGAGAGAGAGAGAGAGAGAGAGAGAGAGAGAGAGAGAGAGAGAGAGAGAAAAGGACAGGAAAGGAAGGAAGAAAGGAAGGAAGGAAGGAAGGAAGGAAGGAAGGAAGGAAGGAAGGAAGGAAGGAAGGAAGGAAGGAAGGAAGGGAAGGAAGGGCGGGTGAGCTAGCCTGGTGGTGCAGCACATGCCTTTAATCCCAGTATTTAGGATGGCAAAGGCGGGCAGGTCTACTCTACATAGAGTTCCCGATCAGCCAAGATTTCTAGTGAGATACCGTCTTTAGCTATAGAGCCTCTCCTGGAGCTCACTCTGTAGACTAGACTGACCTCAGATTCACAGAGATCCACCTGCCTCTGCTTCCATTGGGCTGAGATTAAAGACGTGTGCCACCACTACCTGGCCTGTCTTTTTTTAGAATAACTTATTTATTTTTATTTTATGTGCATTTATTTTATGTGTTTTGCCTGTATGTATGTCTGTGTAAAGGTGTCCTGGAGTTACAGACAGTTGCAAGCTGCCATGTGGGTGCTAGGAATTTAACCCAGGTCCTTGTCATCTCTCCAGTCCTGAAGTCCTGTTAACAACTGTGTCGTGGTGGTAGTGCACACCTTTAATCCAGCGCTTAGAGAGGCAGAGATAGGTGAATCTTTGTGAATTTTTTTTTTGTTTTTTTTTTTTTGTTTTTTCGAGACAGGGTTTCTCTGTGGCTTTGGAGGCTGTCCTGGAACTCACTTGGTAGTCCAGCCTGGTCTCGAACTCACAGAGATCCGCCTGCCTCTGCCTCCCGAGTGCTGGGATTAAAGGCGTGCGCCACCAACGCCCGGCTGAATCTTTGTGAATTTGAGGCTAGTTGTTCTACAAAATGAGTTCCAGGACAGCCAGAGCTATTACACAAAGAAAACCTGTCGCAAAAAAAAAAAAAAAACCAGACTGAACCAAAACAAACAAACAAAAAAAAAGCACTGCTGTTCCAGAGAACAGAGGTCCTCTGGCAGCCTTAGATACCTGTACTCAAGTATTCATACCCAAAGGCACAGACACAGACACATATTTTAGAATAAAATAAATCAAAAGTTGTAAAAAAACATTGAAGACACTGAGGATCCCAGAGGGGACAGAGTGACAGAAGTCTTAGAACGCTTAGGGGCCCGTCTGGGACAGGACTCATTTCCTTGGATCCTGGAAAGTGGCTAGTTTGTGACAGGAACCCAGTTGGAAGCCTGAGGAGACCAGAGCTGCCCCTGACACCCTGCAGCATTTATCTGAGTCCCTTCCCCTCCCTGGGCACTGAGGGCCTCATCTGCTTCACAGCAGTGTAGCAAGAGCGACAGCGGCAGATGAGGCATAGGAGTTGGAAGCCCTCTGGGGGAAGGACTGCCACGTACCCATTGTGAGCCCCCACCTGACCACAGCATTACTCCACTGTCCCCCTCACCTTCCACAGCCTGAACCCATCAAATGGCTGGCTTTAGACCCCCTACACACACCGAGTCAGAACAGCCAGGTCACCAAGCCCTTTGCCAGCAAGTGCTCAACCCCTTCCCCAGACTCCAGCCACATCCCTGTTCTAGTGTCTGCCCCAGCCATTTTGTCCCTCAGTCTGCTGTTCCAGGGCCCTGGCTGAGGCCTTGCCAGCCCACCTTGCAGCTCCTGCCCTCAGCACACTGGGCACCCTGAACCTTGGCCACCAAGGCCTTCCCTTCTGCCACCCACAACCCTAGGAATGTCTCCCTTGACCTTCAGCACTCTTCTGCCGGGAAGCCTTCTCCCACTGGCCCCCACTCCAGCTGAAAAGAATGCTTGCTTCTTTCCCGGGGGCTCTGGGAATATCTCAGATGCTCTCAGGCTCCGGCCTCTGTGCTGTGTCTCACTTATGCTCTGACTGCCTCTCCAGGATGTCAGTGTCTTGAAGCAAAGACCAAGTCCTTGTCAGCTCTTAGCCCCTGAAAATGGACTCCATTCCACGTCCTCCAAAGTCCAAGACCAAGCTGGTCTTGAACTTACCACACAGTAGAGGATAACCTGGAGGCCCTGATCTACTTTGCCTTTCCCTCCAAATTGCTTGAATTACAGCTATAAACACCTTGCCTGATGTTTATTGTGACAGGGTCTGACTATATAGCCCAGGCTGGCCTGGAACTCACTGTGTAGACCAGGCTGGTTTTGAGCTTCCAGTGATTCCCCTGCTCTGAGTTCTAGGGTTACAAGGTTTCAGCACTATACCCAAGTCCATTCAATCTTTAGTGCAGTTCATTTGGGTCAATGAAACGGTAGTACATCTATGGGATATTACCCAATCATAAAAGAGAGTCAAGAGTAGCCACACACACACACACACACACACACACACACACACACACACACACACTGTGAAGGAACTGCATAGACAAGATAATGAGAACCAGAGCCAGAATTAGAAGCATATGCAGTGTGACTCGATTGGTACAGAATTCCAGAAGAGAAAAAGCTAATCTATGACCATGGACTTCTTGGGATGAGGACACTGGCTGCAGAAGGGTAGGAGGACTTTTGCAGGGGGTGTTCAGATATACTATGTCTTGATTGGAAGATGGCTATGTATGTCAAAACACATGACCAGTATACTAAAAAGTACAAGTTGTGTAAAACATTCTTCAACCAAATGAATTATTTTGCTTTGTTGCTTATAGTTGGATTTTTCTTTGTGTCACCAGGTCGCAAATAATGACATGGAGACTTCTTATTAATTATGAAAGTGTGGCTGTAGCTTAGGCTTTGTACTACTAGCTCTAATAACTTAAATTAATTTGCTTTTATCAATCTATATTCTTTTTGGAGACAGGGTTTCTCTGTGTAACATTCCTGGCTATTCTGAAACTCACTCTATAGGCCAAGATGGCCTTGAATTCACAGAGATCCACCTGCCTTGCCTCCTGAGTGCTGGGATTAAAGGCAGGCACCATCACTGCCTGGCTCTAATCTACATTTTACCTCATGGCTTTTTACCTTTCTGTCACCCTATACCTCCTGTTTCCTCTCTGTGTCTCCTGGTATCTCCCACACTTGTCCTCTTCCTTTCTTTCCCTGGAAACCCACCTACACCTTCTGTCTCGCTATTGGCCATTTAGCTTTTTATTATGCCAGTCACAGCAATATATCTTCATACAGTGTACAAATATCCCACAACAGTTGCTCAGGTTGGCAAACTGCTGGCTAGCACAATACTCTTGACTCAGGTTCCTGAATAGCTGGGACTACAGGTATGTAGCCCATCCAAGATCTCATTAAGAAAAAAAAAAAGACTAGCTGGGCAGCAGTGGCGCACACCTTTAATTGGGTGATAGAAGCAGGTGGATCTCTGTGAGTTCAATGCCAGCCTGGTATACAGATCAAGTTCCCGGACAACCAAGGCTACACTGAGAAACCCTGTCTCAAAAACAAAAACAACAAGAAAAAACAAAACAAAAGAAGAAGAGGAAGAGGAAGAAGAGGAAGAGGAAGAAGAAGAAGAAGAAAAAGAAGAAGAAGAAAAAGAAGAAGAAGAAGAAGACATATAAACACAATTACAGGAAGCCTTTTAAAAAAATATAAGAAGACGCCTTTAATCCCAGCACTCGGGAGGCAAAGGCAGGCGGATCTCTGTGAGTTCGAGGCCGGGCTGGACCGACAGCCTCCAAAACAATACAGAAAAACCATGTCTCGTAAAACCAATATATATATATATATATATATATATATATATATATATATATATATATGAAGATAGGTATAGTAGCACATATCTTTAATCCCAGCACTTGGAAAGCAGAGACATTTCTTTAGCCTGGTCTACATAATGAGACCCTGTCTCAAAAACAAAAGCAAAAAAAGGGGGGCTATAGAGATGGCTAATCAGGTAAGAGCACTGGCTGCTCTTGCAAAGACCCTGGGTTCAGTTCCCAGCACCCACATGGTGGCTCACAGCTGTCTGCGACTCCGTTTCCTTGGTTCTGTCACTTTCTTCTGACCTCCATGCCTACTGCAGACACATGGTACACATACATCCTGCAGGCAAAACACTCATAGACGAAATAAAAATAAATACAAATAGTTAAAGTTTTAAAAATATAAAACAATACAAAAAAGTTGGGCACAGTGGCACACACCTGTAATCCTAGCGCTTGGGAAGCTGAGACCTGAGGATTGCTATGAATTTGACAACAGTTTGACCCTGGCCTACAAAGTGAGACCCTATCTCAACAAAACAAACCACCAAATAAAACACAAAAAAATAAAATCAGTAAAATAATCTCTTCCATGCAAGGCAGTGGTGGTACACACATGTAATCCTAGCACTCTGGAGGCAAAGGTGGGCAGAGCTCTGTGAGTTCAAGGCCACCTAATCTACAAAGCAAGTTCCAGGGCATTCAGGACTACATAGAGAAATCCTGTCTTTGAAAAACAAATCACCACCACCACCACCACCATCATCATCTCTTCCCTGCAGCCCTTTTTATGCCCCCTCACTTGGGAGATATAGGTAGACACAGACACCAAAGAAGGCACATACACAAATCCCTCCAGATCACATTTTCAGAAGGTATTCTAGGAAGATTTAAAAGTAAAGTTATTCATAGAATCAGAGAACTGAGCTGTATTTCACAAGGGATCTGAGCCAGAATGGGGCTGGGGAAATGGTGGGGTCACTGAATGCTGCAGGACAGGAGTGGAGATGCGAGGAGAGCGCCTGGCAGAGGGGCCAGCCTGTGAGAGGGAAGAGGCTCGCTGTAACAGGGAATTCAGGCAGAGGAAGGCCCAGCTTTAATCCCCACGGAGAGACACACATGTCAAGCACACCTGTAACTTCTGTACATTGGGATGTGGTAGCAGCAAGTTTGGAAACACAAGGCGAGTCTCAGTTACACAACAAACTTGAGGGTAGCCTGGGTTATATGAGAGCCTGTTTTAAAATGGACTGGAGAGACAGGTCAGAGGTTAAGAGCACTTGCTGCTCTTGCAGAGGACTGGAGTTGGGTTCTCAGCACCCATATCTCCATTCACAACCATCTATTACTCAAGTTCCAAGGGATCTGACGCCCTCTCCTGGCCTCCCTGAGCACTGCATACATGTAGTGCATAGACATACATGCAGGCAAAGCACTCTCACACACACACACACACACACACACACACACACACACAAAGACAAATAAATATTTCAAAATAAATGAACCAAAAACTACAAAAGTAACCAGCAGATGGCCGCAGGCAAGATGTACCATGGTACAATCACTTTGGAGAACAGTTGGAGAAAATCCATGGAAGCCAAGTAAATTCATACCCTGTGGCCCCACTGACACACTTCCAAGAGAAATGACAGTAACTGGCCACTGAAGGATATATCAGGTACGCTTATGACAGCCTTATTCACCATGCCCTACACTGGAAGAGTCCTCAAGCCATCTGCAGCAGAATAGGGGGATCTCCAATTAATGGCACTCTCCTCTATTTTGATATGGGTGCCAGCTACAAAGGCTTACGTATGTGTGAAAAAAATCAGTGAGGCCGGGCAGTGGTGGCACACGCCTTTAATCCCAGCACTCGGGAGGCAGAGGCAGGCGGATCTCTGTGAGTTTGAGGCCGGGCTGGACCGACAGCCTCCAAAACAATACAGAGAAACCCTGTCTCGTAAAAACCAAAAAAAAATAAAAATAAAAAGAGCTAACTCTATAAAAACCATGAAAAATGTGATGACTTCCTGACTTTGGATTGAATAGTGGACTCCAGATTTATTATCAGAAACATCATCAACAAAAAAAATAGATAAATTGGATTAAACAAAAAATTTAAACTTTTGTGCATCAAAAGCACATCATAGCTGGGCATGGCAGCTCCAGCCAACCAAAACTACCTGGTAAGACTCTGTAGTGAGAAGAAAAAAGGACATCAGCAAGCTGGGTGTCAAAAGCAGGGCTATAATCTCAGCATTTGGAAGACTGAGGTAGGAGAGTCAGTTGTTCAAGGCCAGCCTCTGCTATATACAAGTTTGAGACCAGCCTGAACTACATGAGATCCTATCACCAAAATAAAACAACAACAAAAGGACATTATTCCAATCATAGTGACACATTCATATAATCAAATATGTAATTCCAGAACTTAAGGTAGGTGAATATGAGTACCAGAAAATCTAAACTTTATAAACAGATTCACCTAAAAAACACAGAGGTCTAAAAGCGTCTTCTACATACATATGCATACAAATACACTTGCACATGCATAATTTTATTCCAGACTGGGTTTCACTATGTAGCCCTGACTTGCCTGGAATTCATCAGGCTGACTGTAAATTCATAGAGATCTGCCTGCCTCTACCTCCGGAGTACTGGGTTAAAGATGTGTGCCACCATATCCAAAGTGTGTGTGTGTGTGTGTGTGTGTGTTTGTGTGTGTGTGTGCGCGCGCGCGTGCGTGCGTGCGCGCACTCTCGAGCTCGAGCATGTGCCTGTGTTTACAGAAGGCCCGGTGAGATGGCTCCACATATAAAGGAGCCTGCTGCTCTGCCTGACGGTCCTTGTTCAATCAATCTCTAGGATCCGTATGATGGAAGGAGGGACGGAGAGAACAACTCTCTCACGCTGTCCTCTGACCGCCACACAACAACTGTGCTCAGAAAATAAATACAAATATAATAAAAAATGTGAAGACAGCTAAGAGCCAGATGTCATGGGATAAGCCTGTAATACAATCATCGAGGAGGTGGAAGGAGGAGGATTATGAGTCAAAGGTCAGCCTGGGCTACATATCATGACCCTGCCCTTCAACAAACACAATATAATGAGAAAGAAACATTTACAAATCATAAGGTTTACACTCAGAATATACAAAAAACTACTGAATATCTCAATTTTTAAAGAATAAAAAAGAAAACTAAATGTGGTGTCCCATAGCCATGACCCTAGGAGGCAGATCCTCCTTACTTACATAGGAAGTTGGAGGCCAGCCTGGGCTAGGTAAGACACTGTTTTACAAAAAGAAAATAATCTCTGATCACAGAAATGGACAAAGGACTTGAACAGATACTGTATAGAAGAGACCAACAAGCCAGGAGGTGGTAGCACACTCCAGAAGCAGAGGCAGGCAAATCTGAGCTTGAGGCTAGCCTAGTCTGTACAGTGAGTTCTAGAATGGCCAGAGGTACACACAGAAACCTTGTCTCAGAACAACAACCAAAAAAAGAGTCAACAAACACGTTAGAATATTCTCTGCTCATTAAGGAAATGCAATCAAAGCCCAGTGGGATCACTTTGCATCCACTCGTCTTTAATTCTAAGTGTTTAATTATGCGTTTAGTGTTTTGCCAAATGTGTCTGTATACCACGTAGACCCCTGGTGCTCTTGGATTCCCTAAAACTGGAGTTACAGACTGTTGTAAGCCAACATATGGGTGCCAGGAATTTAACCTGTGTCCTTTGGAAGAACAGCCAATCCTCTTCATTGCTGAGCTATCTCTCCAGCCCCTAGTCTTTCGTTTTTAAATCTCCAACTGGAAACTAACTAGGTCTGGCCGTGATTTGGAGAAATCCAAGCCCTGCACAGCGCTGGGGAAGATTGTGGTGGCACAGCTACTGTGGAAAATTGTCTGAGGGGAGGGAGATGCGCCAATTCCACCCAGACAGATACCTGAGGGAAACGAAAGCTTTTGTCCTCACAAAGACTGGCACTCCAATCTCCAAAGAATTACTGTGTGTATATCACCCAAAGTGATGGCTACAGGAAGTCCAGGGACTTATGAATAAGCTGTGGTACATACACAGCAAGGAATATAATTCAGTCACACAAAAAGGGCAAATTATCAAATCCAAGGGAAAACACAAATGAGCCTTGAATATCTTTATGCTGAATGAAAGAAGCCAGACAGAAAAGGTCACATAGTATGTAACTCCATTTACGTGAAATGCTCAGAATGGGCAAAGCCACATCCACAGAAAGATTAGTGGTTACCAGGGGATGGGGCAAGGGGTAAATTGGAAGTGATTACTTAATGGACACAGGGTGTTTTTCTAGACCAATAAAGTTTTGAAACCAGAGAGAAGTGGTAGTTACACAACATTGTGAGTGCACTAAATGACCCTGAACTGCACACATAAAATGGTTAATTGTATGTTTTGTGAATTTCACCCCAATTAAAAAAGTAAACTTCAATTTAAAAAGAGAATAGAACTGCAAAACATAAACGTCACCTGCAACTCCCTGGTAGCCCAGAGAACCTACCAGATTGCAAACTTTCATCCGTTGCTTCCTTCAGCCTCACTGCAGCTCGAGAGGTAGGAATTCTCTGCTCACAGATGGGAAGCCACTGAGTCAAGCACACACAGAAACCCAGGGACAGTGACTTCCCAGGAGTCACTGCAGAACCCGGGTTCTCCTCCAGCTCCCTAGCTGGGAGCTGGTGAGGTCAGGCATGGGGAACGTCTGTGCAACCGCAAGGCAGGAGTTAATGACTGAGGAGCTTGGAATGTGCTGGTTCTGAAAGGGCCTCTTGTGGCTCCACGGTTAGAGCAGGAAGGGACTTTCAAGTCACGTACACACACTGTACTGGAGACCTGGGCCCCGCTCAGCTGCTACAGACAGTGTGAGGAGTAGGGTGATTTTTTTTGCAGCAGGAGGATGTGTGCCGTCAAGTTGGACTCAGGTCAGTTCTGTGTGCCACCTCCTGACTGCTTATGTCATCTGTCTAACTCTGGTCAGCCAAAGAATTCAAACATCAGTGGTGTGTGTGTGCGTGTGTGCACCTGTGTGTGTGTGTGTGTGCTCTTACTCAAGCATGAGTGTGTGCACATGCAAGAGTGCATGTTCCACAACACTCATGAGGAGATCATGGGGCAGCTTTTGGGAATCAGTTTTCTCCTGACACCATGTGCTCCAGGGTGCAAACTCAGGTTGTCAGGCCTGTGTGGCAAGCACTTTGACCGGCTGAGCTATCTCTGTAGCCCGGTTGTGTTTCTTGAGACAGAGTCTCATGTAGCTCAGACTGTCCTTGAACTCACTTTATAGCAGACACAGACTTTGAACTTCTGTCCTCCTGCCTTTACCTCCAGCACTCTGGCATACAGGCGTTCACCAGCAGCAGCACCACGCCTGTTTCTGTGACGTTACTGTATGTGTATCTCTAGCAAGCCTCAGATGTAGTTATCGCTATGTCTCCATTTCACAAACGAGGAAGCAGGATCTCAGAGAGATTGGGTGAGTCATCCAGGACATGCAGTGGATGGTCAGCCTGACCAGAACCAAACCCAGAACCCAGAGCTTTCTGGGTCCACCATGTACATATTTGTATTATTTCTATGGTCTCACTGCCCCCAAGACTCTTCTCTCTCCCTCCCCCAGCCCCCATGCACAGGCCTTCATTTCTCTTTTTGGCAAACTGCTATGGTTTCTCTCGAGGAAGACAGGCATTTCATAGATTTGGAGCAAGGGAAAGGCACTAGGCTGGTGACCTTCTGCAGATGCTGTGACAGCAAAACACTTTCACACCTGTAGTCTCCATTGCTCCCATAGCAGCCCTGTGCGATCAACAGTGAGACCCATCAGGGACTCAGGAAGGTGGTCTGCCTGGGTCACACAGACACAAATATAGCTCTATGACTAGAAACCCAGGGCCACTCTGGCCACCTAGCCTCTGTTCCCAAAGAAGACAGCCTAGGACCCTGCTTCTCTGAATGGGAATTTCTTCAGTTTCCGTTGAAATGCAAGGAAGCTCAGAAGGGAGCTTTGGGATCCTTCTTGCAGCATGACATTCTACATGTATGTGCAGTGTGAGGGCTCAAAGCTCTGATGGTCTGACTTGGTCACCAGACTCAGCCACTTACTCAGTGGCCTTAGGCAACTCATTTCAGGACCTGTCAACCTCAGTTTTCGCCATCTGTAAAATGGGGGTTAGGATGGCACTATCTCCCCAGCACATTTGGCCAGGGCCTCACCCTCACAAAGACCTTTCACATACTTTTAAGAAGGCTGGTGACACACCAGTACTGGAGGAATGCCTCCAGTCAAGAAGCCTCATTGATTGCATCTCAGGACACTTGTGTCCCTCTGTAGGCCCTCTTTGCCTGTAGAGGCCTAGATTAAAACTTGTGATAGCTCTGGAGACTCCAGATACAATTATAGTGCTTTCTATCTGTGGGTACCCTAAGTGTCACTTCATTTAGTGTTAAAATCTAAGAACACTTTTGTAACCGTGGTTTGTCACTCACATTTAGTCGATCAGAGGCCTCGATACCAGTTGAAACCGGGTGTGGTGGCACATGTCTATAATATCTGCCCTCCACTCCGGAGGTGAAGGCAAACACCAGTAGCTCTAGGCTATCCTGAGATGCATAGAAAGTAAAGACCAACCTGGGCTACATGAGACAATCTAAAAACAAAAAAGCCAGGCATGATGGTGGCACATTCCAGCACCAGGGAGGCCAGCCTAAGACATCAGAGACCCTGCCTTAACCAATCTCCCTCTACCAAAACAAAGTAAACTCTACCAAACAAACTTTCCACCCCGATTCCAGAGGAGTGGCCTTAAGTCAGGACGGCAGACTTGGGTGACAGTGCCAGCTAAATAATGGTGACAGCAATAACCCATCATATTTATAATTCACTTCAATAGTTTCCAGCTCGTTTTCTCGTCCTATCTAAATCCGCGAGTGAGGCCAATGGGCTACATGATTGTTTCGTCCTGTTTTATGGCGTTGGGAACCTTGGCTAGTCCAGACGGGGCGGGGCGCAGTTGCAAGCCCCAACCTCAGCTAGGTGCGTCAGGGGGAATCCTCGCTGTACCTGGGCGCGGCGAGGAAATTGCACCATGTATGGGCAGCTGCGTCAGAGGGGGCGGGGCCACCGCAGAGGCTAGGGGACGCCAAGTCGGTCGCCTTCCCCCCCCGCAGAGGCGGCTGGCCACCGAGGCAGGGGGTCGTGGAGTTCCGAGCGGACCAGCCCACAGCGGCTCATTTGGAGAGGTGAAAGGCTCCGCTGCGACACGCCCCTACCCCCCGCGGTGCAAGTGGTTCAGCCCGAGAACTTTTCATTCATAAAAAAGACAAGACTCCGCGAGGCTCGAGTGAGTCAGAACCGCAGCCGCCGACGCGGACCCAACCGAACATCCAGCCCAGGGCATGTACCGAGACTTCGGGGAACCGGGACCGAGCTCCGGGGCCGGCAGCGCGTACGGTCGCCCCGCGCAGCCCCCGCAGGCGCAGGCGCAGACTGTCCAGCATCAGGTGAGACTGGCGGGACCCCCGAGGGGGACCTGGGTTTGGACAGCGTTGGGGATGCTGGAGTTAGTCTGGTTTGCTCCGGGATTAGGACCGGAACCCCGAGAAGCGTCTGCGCGACCGAGGATCCTGCACGTTCTGCGCTGTCCAGGAACCGGTGTCCCCCGTGGCCAGGAGGACAGGCGCGGCGGGAGGAGCGAAGATCTACGAATTCCCCCTTCTCGCTCGCTCGCCGGCCCGCCCGCATCTCCCTGGCTGACTGTCAGTCTGCTCCTCTGTCTCCGTTACCGTCTTTATTTCCTCTTGTCTGTCCCTAAATAGTGTCCTACCTGCCTTATCCCAAAACGGAGCGCTCCATCTCCAGCTTAATAATCGGGACCTGGAGCCCGGGCACAGGGAGACATTGGGAAAGGGGGGTTCATTAGAACCCGGCCGGGACAGCGAATCCTTAGCAGTCTGTCTATGGCTGTACGTGTGTCGTTTCCAGTTTGTCCGTGTTCCTCTGCCCGGTCAAGTCCCCATCCTTTTGAACCCAGTAGAGTGCTGTGGGCCCCAGGCAGTGGCTCTGAGGGGTTCCTGGAGACTGACTCCACTCTGTAAGCCAAATGGAGACCACGAAGTGTTGGGACATGCTCCGGGTCATCCACAAGGCCACTCTCGCGACCCTGACTCTTGGCACCCGACGGTTCCCACTACTGGCTAGGGGCACTTGAGAGGTTGCAGGTGCCCATTTCCTGTCGAGGGACCACGAGCACGTGTTGCCAGGGGAGGGAAGGAGCTGCGTCCGTTCCGCCGAGTCACAGCGAACCGAGTCACTGTGGCTGAGTCACCCTGGGTGCCCCTCCCTTCCTGGCCCCAAACGGCCCCCGGGACCGACGACCTGGGAGCGGGAGATGTCCCTAGCGATGCTTCTAGCCCAGAACTGGGGTCACTGAACCACTGTGTCCCCCACTTCTGGGCTGGGGACATAGCCGTCAAGGCTTGCCTAGGCATGTGAGGTGTTTCCTGGACGGAAGGGAGCCCACACCCTTAGCTCACAGGGCTTAAACCCAGTCTGTGCCCCAGAACACTCACACACACCCAGACCTCACCCCCATTCCCCACCCCCGCCCAATCCCAACACATGCCTCAGATTTCTGGCAGAAAAAGAACTAAAGAATGCCAGGCCTCCTATGGAGGGCTTTTCATCTCTTTACCTTATTTTAGTATTTCAAAACCCCATCAATTTCAAGCCTCAAGAATCTTAAATAGACAACTGGGCATGCCTTTAATCCCAGTATTCAGGAGGTGACGGGTGGAGGCAGAGGCAGGCCAATCTCTGGGAGTTCGAGACCAATTTGGTACAAAGTTCCAGAACGGCCAAAGCTACATAATAGAGGGATCCTGTTTCAAAAAACAAACAAACAAACAAACAAACAAAAAACATGGTTTCTGAGCCTTTAGAGCCAGCTCCTCAGCAGCAGTGAAATGTAAGGAAACTGAAGTATCGTTGGGGCTAAATAACTTGCTCCAGTCACAAAGTCAGTAAATGGCTGAGCTGATGGGTGAGACACAGGTAGCCCTTGTTTATCACACTGGGCACCTGACGCTATTACACACTCTAAGCCACTCGAGCTGCCATGTCTTTAGTCTCAGTGCTTGGGAGGTGGAGGCAGGAGGGTCAAGAGTTTGAGTCTAGCCTGAGCTACATGAGATCCAGTCCCCCAACAAGATTCCCTTGCCTAATTCTCAGAGTGCCTTGGGAGCTAGAAGCTGAAGTTATGCTCTGTTGTGAGGATGGGTGCAGGAATGAGAGAGAGAACCCAGCCATTTGGGCTCAAACCTCGGTTTCTACTTGCTGGCTGTGGGTCTATGGTCAACAGTTATCCTGTCTGGAGATGGAGATACGATTGTGCCTGCTGTATGAGCAACTCCATAAAGTAGTTGGAACTCTATAAAGACAGTTCACATTTGGTAAGAATTATCTCTGATGGGGAAACAGAGGAAAAGAGACATTTTGTGACCTGCCCAAAGTCACAGAGTTTCTGGTTACCCAATTGTGTTCCTTGTGGCTTCCCAAAGCCAGTATCTGCGCTGAGAGGAGACAGAAGTACAGCCTCTGTCCCCTGTAAGCCCCTCAGCTCAGCTCATCCCTGACCTCTGCTCTTATTTCTCAGAAATTCCACCTCGTGCCAAGCATCAATGCTGTAAGTGGCAGCCAGGACCTGCAGTGGATGGTGCAGCCTCATTTCCTGGGACCCAGTGGCTATCCCCGACCTCTGACCTATCCCCAGTACAGTCCCCCTCAGCCCCGGCCAGGAGTCATACGAGCCCTAGGGCCACCTCCAGGGGTGCGTCGCAGGCCCTGTGAGCAGGTAAGGAAGAGAGGTGTTGCACTTTCGATAACCCTTAGGGGTTCTAGGAGGCAGGGGACAGGATCGTGCTATGAAAGAACTTCCATTGCCCATAGGAGTCCCCGGGAGGCTAAGAAAGAGGCAAAAGGTCGGTCACTTGTGAGTCAAGGGAAGCTTCCTGGAGAAGGCTGCATGTTAACCTAAATCACAGATAGGATTTGTGTATGGAAAGCTGAAAGAATTAGAGGAACAAGAATGAGGTGGGGAGGACAGAATGTAAAGTGGGTATGTGGAAACCAGGGAGATCTCCATTGTGTGGCATGCCTGGGGTGGGCGGGCTTACGCTGTCTATGTACCTCGGGGTGGTACCAGAGTGCATGGTTGACATTCTCTGAATCTCAGTTTCTAGCTTATTTTATTGTTA